AGAGAGAGAGAGAGAGAGAAAGAAAGAAAGAATCAGACAGAGAGAGAAAGTGAGAAAGAGAGAGGGAGGGGGTGGAGACAGAGAAAAAGAAACAGACAGAGAGGAAGAGGACTAGCATAATGAGACACCGTAAGAATGTGACGAGAGAATCCCCTGTAACCAAGTGAGTCGCCGACTGATCTTGAGTAATTTCAGTAAGAACAAGCACATTGACACTTACTGAGGTGTTTAACAGCCCTATGGGCATAGTAATTATATTGCATCATTCTGGGAGGCGGCTTTTTCGACACTGCCTGTCAGGGCCAGCCGGAGATGACTGGTATTCAAAATTCCAAAAGACACACGGGGATACTCGGTTAAAAAGAATATAACAAAACAAGAAAATAAATTTAAAAACAATGCACAACAAACAAACAAAAAGCAACCTTCCCCACAAAGAAATTGTTGAACTCTCAGTACGATAACGGTCAGGAGTAAAGCAAGAAAGACAGGAACAACATGGAGGAGGAGGGGGGGGGGGGAGAGAGAAGTGAAGTCAACCGGCACCACTCTCCAACCACCTGTAGTCCCCAGACACAGTTAACAAAACGCCTGGGCCGAGAGAATAGACAGCTCAAACAAGAACTAAAGCTGAGGTGGCAAATTTTACAAACGTCATTATACATAGACACAACCTACGTGTGGACACAACTACTATAAGGTCGTGCGAGTGGTTGGCGAGTGCTCTGGTGTGGTTTGCTCTTTCTTTCCTTTCAAACATCTGTCGTCCTTATTTCTTCTCCTTTTTTGTTTGTTACTCTCTTGTAACACCTCTAATATTCGGCACTTATATGTCCTTATCAAGTTGCAAGTACCAAAAAACTCATTAAAACAAGAACTAAACTTAGATAGGAGAACCAAACGACAACCAGTGATTAACTGTGAGATGAAAAAATAAAAGATTGCGGTGGAGTAGGCACACAATGAAGAAGCCAGCCTACGATGTGACAAGAAAAAGTCTGTAATGGAATTTCCATTTCCAGGCGTGAAGAGAGGAAGGCAGGGATCCACCCAGGAATGAGATCTGGAGTCACCAGGGATCGAGGAAGGGGGGCTGCCCAGTTTGACACAGACCCAATTTGTCACAATTTCATTTAAGAATTTGAGTATTGATGACAATTATAATTACAGCAGTTTAACACTGTAGTTGTAGCTTATTTTATTTTTTCTCCACCTTCAAATTCGTGGTGTAGAGATATTTCCTCTAAAACGTCAAGTCAGCTTGTATTGTTCAATATTTCTTCTTTCTTGTATGCAAATCAAAGCAAATTACTCTGTAAAATTTCAACAATGAATGTTCTTTAGCTAAAATAAAATTGAAAGACAAAATTCATTTCATACAATAAATCAACCATTCATTTACTCTTTTTGAGAGAGTCAGTGACAACTTCCATCCCGCAGAGCACAACCGAGGCCTGTGACAAGCTGGGCCTGTGACAAACTGGCATGCTTCCCGGGGAAGAGAGGAACGCCATAATACACCCAGGAACATGATCTTCTGGAAGCAGATCTCAGGCATATCGGGCACAGCTGGACGGAGGTAGAGAAGATCGCCCAGAAGAGGGACTGATGGGGAGCCCTTCTTGGTGGTCTATACCCAGTACCAGGGAGAAAGAGGCATGTGGTGATGACAACTTAGACCATTTAGGAAGAGGGCTGCTTTAACATCGCATACAGAGGCTAGTCCAGGCTGTGCAAAATATGCTAGCACTTGATAGAATGATATTTCCAACGATCGATTCGATGTCGGTTTGCTGACAAGACAAGTGGTCCAGCCATGACACCAAATATCGGTGAACAGGCAGTATACCACAACTGAATAGCAACAAAGCTATGCGGGAGTGTGTGAGCGCATGTGCGTGTGTGTGAATGTGTAACTGTGCGTGGGCGTGTGTGATGTGATGTGTGTGTGTGTGTGTGTGTGTGTGTGTGTGTGTGTGCGTG